ATTTAAAGTTCATTCAAAATTAGTGTACAGAATCAATAAAAAATTATTGTAGTATATGAAATTGTTAAAACAGTTAAAATCGCTAAATTTTAACCCTTCTTCAAGTGTAACGAAAATAGAAATGTGATGGTGCTTGTACGACGGCATTCAACCTACAGGGTTAATATTGCTGCAACGATTTCCAGTTCTAATGGAACAAAAATATAAATGCAACCTACCTTTTCTTGTTATGAAACAATTCTTGATTTGTCCCTTATTTTCGTTAAAAAATATAGTCACCGTAAACATATATATGTTAGAATATAAAAAGACATACTCGAGGCGACCACGACCCATCACGCCCGGATTGTGTTGTTCCTCGTTAATCAAGTTCCTAGTTATTGAGTCATTGGCCTCTTCCTGTTGGTATAGAAGAAGTTCTTGATTCTTCGACAGAAGAACAGGTAACATCGATTAACATGAAGGAGGATGACGAGCTACGAGCAAAAGCTGGTGAAGAACATTAGCTACCTCCGTGAAAAATACTTGGGTCTTCTCAAGCACGTGCCGCAGTTCCGTCAATTCGAGATAGTTACTCTTCAGGTTCACCGCGTTTTGGCTCAGCTCTAATATGTCGTTCTCCGTTTCCTCGAGATGCGCCTGCAAATAAACATACAACATCCATGAAAAATAACGAAACTGAACATTTTTAGAAGTAAGTTTCTTTCGAACTGATCTACAGATATTTTTGTTGTATAAATATTGTAGATGTTTAATGAAGCTCAATTTTCTTTTTATTAATTTAAAGAAACTTTTGGTTCTGTACATACTTATTATAGACATTTAATTAAGCTCAATTCTTTTGTTAATAATTTGAAGACATTTTTTGTTCTATAAGTATTATAGGCGTTTATTAAAACTCAATTTTCTTTTTAATAATTTAAAGATATTTTTTGTTCTATAAATATCATAACATTTAAGAATAAACCACAGTCTAATGACCAGCTCCCGTAACGAAAGAGATCTGAGATAAAATGATAAGGAAGTAAATTGAAGATGAACGATAACTAAGGGTGCAAGCAGCAATAAGCCTAGGAGACACTTTAATCCCAATTGAGATACTGAGTAAGAAAAGGTGAGAAATCAGTTATGACGAAATAACGTTTAAAGAATGAAACAAATATTATCAACTTTATTCTTTTGCAGCTTGTGAAAGACATTTAATCACAAGTTCTGGTATTAAGCAGAATCATAAGTGAAAACAATAAAACAAATATTTTCAGTTTTAATAAATATTTGTATCTACTATACAACACTTCAATTTAGTTACCAATGCCACAGTCTTAGAGTTAAACTGAATTATAATTGAGAACAATGAAACAAATCTTTTCAATTTCATTACTTGTACCTACTGAAAGACATTTAATCACGATTTAGACTTAGCAAAAGCACATTCTTGGAATTGGCAGAGAGAGGCAAAATTACAAATGAAATTGCCTACCTCGAGATTTATAATCATATGAGGTTGCAAGGAGCAATGATAGCTAGACTCTAATCCCAGTTGAGGTAATAAATAAAAAGAACGTAAAGATAAGAAGTCGGTTATGATCAAATAATATTTAAATCTTCGAAGAATAGAACAAATCTTTTTAAGTTTATTATTTCTATCTACTCAAAGATATTTAATCATGATTTAGAGTTACCAAAGACTTTTTGGAGTTAAACAGAATTAAAACTGAAAGAATGAAACAAATCTTTTCAATTTTATTATTTGTATCTACTGACATATTAATTACGATTTAGAATTATGGAAGATACATTGGTAGAGTTAAGCGGAATTGCAAATGAAATTCTTTACCTCGAGATCTATGATCATACGAGGGTTTGGAGCTCGTGGCAGTTCTGTGAGATTGTCAGCGATCGGCACACCATCCTTCTTGACTTCGGCTTCGATGTACCTCAGCTTCCGTTCCATTTCGTCGCATCGACGGACCTCGTTCACAAACTTCCGTTGGAAGTAGTTTACATCTGCGTTAAGCTATAAACGAAATGAATATAATAATAAGAATGGACCTGTCGCAAACGAACAATTTTTTATCGCGAGCCTTCGTTCTGTTAATTTGGAATTAAAGGGTTACATAGGTTCGAAAAGAAAATAGTTTTTCCCAAACATATTTTTATTCGATTGATTAAATTAATTGTTCCATATACAGGGTATCCCAGAAAAAGTGTTAGAGCCGAAGAGAGGTGATTGTGTATGTGTTTCTGAACAATAATTTCAAGGAAGGTTTAATTTCTAATATTCTAATGTATTTAATAGTATTTTAATGTATATGTTAATTATAATTATAATGTATGTATAATGTTTAAGGTTTTACTTCTAATATTCTAATGTATGGTTTTCCATTTTTTGTTATTATTTCAATTGAAACAATCTGTTTTGGATATAAAATCGGTTATAAGCAGAAGCATTGTAACTACGATTTTTCGTCCATATTATAACGTTCAAATTACTAAATATCAGCATATTCTGAATAAATAAAGAACAGACCGCGCCAGATTTGATTTGATTTTCGTCTTTCTGAAAAGGTACCTGACGACCGGAAAATATTGTCATATAACAGCGAAAAGTATATTTCCGTAAACCCATATTTTTGACTAATTTTGTAGGTAGTATTGACAGTCTGTCTTATCCCGCTGCCATCGGAGTTTACCCCCTTAAATTGGCTGGCAATGAGAGTGGTAAATAAGAAATTGAGAGAGAAGACTTTAAACAATAATATAAATTATATGCTTATTTCAGTTTTATATCAAATTATAATTTAGACATTTATTGCATGATTTTTAAAGGATATTAGAGTAATAAAAAGCTATGTCCAACATTTGAAATGATAAACTTTTAGGAA